GTACGCATATTCTGTCAACAACCGCCACCCTATCCCCCGTTCGTTGTTCAGTTGAACACTCAGAGAGTTAGTCAGGTTCTCTTCGGTGGCTTTAGTGTCGGGAGAAAGCTGTGATATATGAAACATGCAGACCGTCAACTCAACTGTGACAGTATGTCCTCCTAACTTTGTCATTGCTACTCAAGAGTTCAGACTACAACTACGTTAGAGTTTATACGTCATCGGGTGATTAATCGGTTCACGCTGATCACTTTTTATGGGGAAAATATAATTTACTTAGTTAATCTTTCCTTGTGGGCCTAGGCGCATATGGCGGAGGTCATAGCTCCCCATGCCTGACGGTTCGCTGCCACCTGCTTTAGGTATTTGCTGTTTGTTAGGTCTATGGTTCAGCCTTCCCTGATGATGGTTCTAAGTAGACACTTTAAGTCAAGATGGCGGGATGTCTTTCCTTCAAGCTTGCCGTAAGACTCTTGACCGATGATCCGACATGTCACCATCGAAAAACATCGTTTGTTTTAGAATCAGATTTACAGCTCTAAAAATATCATATACATGGAGGGAGGAAAAGGAATGGCTGCTTTAGGGAATATGGGGCCCAATTGGTGACCATTTACCTATTCCATTTATTAGTGACGTATTTCATGCCTATTTTCCCCCCTCCTTTTATCTAGCATAATATCAAACGAGCTTTTCGAATAAAATAAGATTAATAACTTGAGATCGTAGGTCGGCGTTTCAGGTGACTGCAGTAGCTTTAATCAGGTCATTTAACAGCCACCTCTACATCCGGCCTGATCTGAGAAAGCAGTTGCCTACCTATTTACCTTTTCACACTAGATAGATGCCCTGGTAATTCAATCGCCAACTCGTTCGACTTTTTAACTTCCGACTTCCGTGAATACAGTGATTAGTTGGAACCCAGTCGTCATCTGGTCACGTTTAGAAAACAAAAATGACTAGTTTACCCTATCCACCGGCCGGCCACAGTGACTATGCGCTGGAGAAGTACGAGTAACATGTCCTTATGGAATGACTCACAAAAGTAACCAGAGGACGAGCTGGCTGAATGCTGTGTGAGGACATTATAAGTGTACTTTGGTGCATACACGTAACGATCAGATGAAGCCTTTGTGCGTGCAGCTTGGCAAAGGTAAAGGAGCCTTTTCCATGCCTTTAGGCGTACTGGGCATGTCGTGCTTGAACTTGATTTTATTGACCAATCGGCACTCAGTGGGTGAGGTCGCTTACTTCCCAGAACACATTTACGGTTGGGTCGACCTGGGAGCCAAGGTCTTTTTACAAAAAAAAAAGCCCGACTATGTTCGGGTTTGAGCTGTCCATCTTTATATTTCAATCCAATGATGCAAAAAAAAAAAAAAACTGCTTTGTGCCAGAACATCGTTTTGCTTCATAAACCCTCTCCACAACTCCACCTCTTTAAGTCCTAGGGGGTTTAGCATCACAGGCCCAGGGGGTAGTAAAGAGAGTCATAAAATCGGCGCATCATGCGTTCATTGGGCTTCTAGGTACAAACCTATGAACGTATGATGCGTTCCTTGGGACTCAAAGAGTTAAAAATAATTTTAAAAAAAAACCAGTGTGATACAAGTACTGCTTATAACATATAATATTCAAGACCCAGTTAACCAATGAATGAATGTGCACTATGAAGCCAGTCCATGGAGATCTATCTAGACTACCAATACACACACGAATACAAAGAAAATAGCAGTGCAGAGCCATTCAGCTTTATGTCTAAGACAGGCTGGAGACGTTGCGGTGGTGGGTGTGACACCAAGACATAGGTCTAAGCTTGCAGCTGCCGCTTAGTTGAAACTCGGCAGACTGGAAAATCAACAGGATCTGTGTGTGCCAAGAACTGTGAGTCAACACGGATGAATGCAAATGTAAGCTTATTATATGTTGCTGACGTAACTGTGATGATTTACACCCCTACAAACACTGGTGATGTGCAAACGGATTTCATTCACAATTCGGTAAGCCCAAAGACTGGGTGATGTGGGGTTGTGTGTCTGTGTTAACCAAACTTTGACAGTGTCATGAAAGTACACGATGACTGTCTAGATAACAAATACATCATCACCTCCCAGGACTTGACTTGCAGGTTGCTTTATTCATGCTTCATTAGAAACATTCAATTGATGGCTATTCGACCAAGATACACACATATATATATACAAGGAAACTCCATCATTTATGTTTGTTCCCAGGGTATATGCAAGGTAGTTTCAAGAAACTTAATATTTTCTGCTACACTGCAGCTTTTTCTGTCAACACCATTCAATTGACACCCACCAGGTTGCCACGAGATACAAAGATAAATCATACTGTGTATTTGTGTAGTATTGTCCATTCAATGTATGTGCTGAAGAAGGCCCTTTAACCGCAACTTCACGTTTTGTTTGTTATATGGTGAAGCTCGCTGATATACTTTTCGTTCGGTTTTATATCTTTCCTTGATATTTTTCTGTTCAAGGTTACATTTTCAAGATCAGTAGTTCACAAATAGCTGACCTGCGAACCCCTCTTTTTGTTTAAGGTCTTACACTGAGTTCATACTATTTAACAGTCATACAGAAGAACTTATTGTTTATAAATATGAATATCACACAAAAACTGCAATCTACAGTTCAGGGAAAACATCTAGGAAGTCATATATTTATATCACTGAATCTTCCTCTATTGATGAGACAAATACACACCTCCATATACTCACATAAACCTTTAGACAATTATTATCAACTTTATGAGACAGATATCTAGCAGATCTCTACAAGCTTTCCCAGAACAATACTACAGCGCTTGGTCAATGCAAAAAAAGAGAAGTGGCAGATAAAGAAAGAGCTGGATAAAGAATTTGGCTGAATAGACAGGCCTCACAGGCAAACAGCAAGTCCATTGTATGTGGCAGGACAGATGAGGGAAACTGATCAGACAGGCAATAGCAACTGGTGACCCAACAACATGTGGTTTTACAGGACTCCGCTGATGATTAACTTAATCATTCAGTAGCCATTTGTTCCCTCTGAGTTGCTGCTGCTGATAATGTCACTTATTACAGTATCCACTTTACCCTTCTCACAAGTTAGGTATTCAGGGCAGCACATTTCAGTCACTAGCACAACCTTCATCAGACTGAAGTATTTTATGATCACTTTTACGATCATCCAATGAGAGTTGCCAAAACTGCTGTCTTTGCTACAGCATGGCCTATCTTCTCCAAACTTTGAAGATAACAAGCACTTCACTGGCCAGGGTTAGCAGCAGCTTGTGACAAATGAATGAGATTATCATTTGTGAATGGTACAAGCTCACAATCTACTGTGATCAGGCCACACAAGTGTGCAAGATAAGAGAAGATACTTGGCGGCAGAGATAGCAGAGGAAGGACTGCTGCAGTGTAAAAACACATCAACCACACTGAAACATTAGTGTCAAAATCCGAGGTGCCTGCAAAGTTGGAACCATAAATCTGGGAGAAATGTGGCTTTTCTGCCTTCCTCCAGGCATGAACCCAGACCACAAAGAGTTTGTCACCCCTGGGTCGATGCGTAGTCAGGTTTAACCAACTGAGCTAGCGAACATGGCAAACCAAGCTGTAAATGATTCCTCTAGCTAGGCTGAACAAGTAGTGAGGATAGGAGTTTGTCACCTCATATCTTCACCTTCTTCTGCATTTTATTCTCCAATTAACACAGTCTCTCAATAAATACAACAAGCCCTCCTGATTCCCTGACTGTTACAAAGGCAGAATTGAAAATGGGTTTTTGTCTTTTGCCCTTGTCTGAAGTGTATTAGTAAATGTTTCAGTTGTTCTCCATGTTTCAGCCCCCCCCCCCCCCCCATACCGCAGTACTGATGTGACATCAAAGTTAACTGATTTCAATTTTATCTGAGGAAAGCTGAATGACTTTGGCAATGTTCATAGTGTCCTGGAGAGATCGACGATGTAGTGAACCATTTCTGGACAAAGTGGCATAGGCGGACCCCTATAATGGTGAATACAAGATACTGAAGATGCACTGACTACGAAAGCACACAGGACTGGAGAACTGGCTAGAGAAAGAGACTGTCAAGTGTGCTGTGATGACAGCGACATTCTCTACAGGACGTACTGACTGATGATGATGATTGGTTTAATCAGTCACCTATTAGGTAACAGACAATCTGTTCTGTGTTGAGTGTACCAAATACAATATGAGGTAAAGCCCCAGACCTACAAGCACCACATATCTCTGGCTATTCTTACTCTTCACTCAAAACCTTTCAAAGCTCAAGTGAAAATACTATGAAGCCTACAGTCAACCTTAAGTTCTGGGCATCTCTAAAGTCTGTCCTCAAATAGAGCAGGTGTATATCATCATAAACACTTTTGCCATTAAGCCTTGTGGGAAGCAACAATTTGAAATGCAGTGCCCACTGGCTGGCACTGGCTGGCACTGGCTAACGTCATGCCGTGAAGGTGTTAAGTGTCCTTTATTTTGTCTATCCATTTTTTCTCAAGGTCGTTCTCTTGCCCTTATAGCTGAACTTTTGAGATGTAGTGCCTCTGATAGTATTCGATGTTGCTGTATTCTAATGAGACAACCAAACCACCTGATCTACTGTTTGTCTGACTGATGCATCATTATCCACTCAATCTCAGATGGTTAGGCTTGGGTCTTTTCTCATGTTTCTCATCTGGCAAGTGGTGATTTTGCGTACATGGGCTTTACATAACATCCCAGTTTTGTACAGGAGGCAAAAAACTGGAATGAATATGCTGTTTACAATCTGTTTTGTGTGTGTGTGTGTTGGCACACATAGTTATGTATGCACCTTATAGCAGCATGTGTTCTGTAAATGTTAAGTACTGTTGAAGCAAATATTTAGACATTATCTGCCACAATCACCCAACTCCCCCATCTATGTTAGGACTGATTTGTTTACCTAACACTCTCACAAATGAGCCAATACAAAAACGACAGCTGTCTTACCTGTCCTGCTGTGTCACAAAGCTGCAGCTGAACAGGTTTACTGTCAACTGTCACCTTGACTGTGGAAGACAAGGGTCAAGTTATGTCAGACTTCAGCAGAAACATGACACAGCAGCTACTGTGCGCTACAAACAAATGTGTGCTGACATTCACATTATGCTAATATCACTTCAACATCAATACAATAACGCCATTCATGACTGTGTATTCTCTCAGTACAGCCGACTTTCAAGAGTAAAATAAAATCTAGTTTACATGTGTCAAATTCAACCTCCTGGGGCCTCAATGTGGAAAGGCAGTAGAGGGGTGGAGGTATATGCCCCCTTCACATACATCTCATAAAAAGTGACTAAGTTCTCAGTGCAATTTTTACGGAGATTCTGGAGATCATTGCTGGAGCTACAGAGTATTTGCTTTGTGCAATGCTCCATACAGGTAGCTAGCTGTTCTGTGGAGGAAGACCAAGCCATATGGGATAAAACCCAGTGCAACGAAGTCGTTCCTCTCAACTGTAACTTTAAAAAAAAGAATATCAGGTATTTTGAGTTCAATGGCAAAGGTATCACAACCTAGCTGTAAATCTCAACACATATGCCTACCACCACCTCACTCCTGTTAAGGCCAAATACAGAAGAAGAAGAAGAAGAAGAAGAAGAAGAAGAAGAAGAAGAAGAAGAAGAAGAAGAAGAAGAAGAAGAAGAAGAAGAAGAAGAAGAAGAAGAAGAAGAAGAAGAAGAAGAAGAAGAAGAAAAAGAAGAAGAAATGTGGTATTTACACTTTCTATGTCTGACTAACCCACCAACAGACAATTTGTTATCTCCACTAATCACACAACAGATACTGTCAGGCAGCTATCAAGTGGTAGACAAGCACACATACTACGCTTTATCATACAATTGGGTTGACTTTTCACTTTGTCTTTCATATCCAGAAAAGTACCCCTTATATGAAACTTGGTTGATGCTATAGTCAGAAAGGTTATAACAGATTTGACATTAGCGGCTTAGTTCAAAACCTTGGCTCCCAACCTGACTGAGTCTACAATGAGTACAACAAAATGTCAAGGGAAGTAAAGGCAGCTGGCACAATGCTGACCACATTCATCTGCTACTAATTGGTCCATCAAAAATATAGGTCTAGCAACACATTCTTTTTTTTAAAATGAGTCTGTACTCTAATGGGTTTTGAACACAAGACTAGTGTGTTATCATCTGTACTCTAATGGGTTTTGAACACAAGACTAGTGTGTTATCATCTGTACTCTAATGGGTTTTGAACTCAAGACTAGTGTGTTATCATCTGTACTCTAATGGGTTTTGAACTCAATACTAGTGTGTTATCATCTGTACTCTAATGGGTTTTGAACACAAGACTAGTGTGTTATCATCTGTACTCTAATGGGTTTTGAACTCAAGACTAGTGTGTTATCATCTGTACTCTAATGGGTTTTGAACTCAAGACTAGTGTGTTATCATCTGTACTCTAATAGGCTTTGAACTCAAGACTAGTGTGTTATCACCTGTACTCTAATGGGTTTTGAACTCAAGACTAGTGTGTTATCATCTGTACTCTAATGGGCTTTGAACTCAAGACTAGTGTGTTATCATCTGTACTCTAATGGGTTTTTAACTCAAGACTAGTGTGTTATCATCTGTACTCTAATGGGTTTTGAACTCAAGACTAGTGTGTTATCATCTGTACTCTAATGGGTTTTGAACTCAAGACTAGTGTGTTATCATCTGTACTCTAATAGGCTTTGAACTCAAGACTATTGTGTTATCACACAGTATACTGTTGTACTCAAAACATAATTAGCACTGTAAAGGAGAGGTTAACCATAATTATTATAGTAAATAAAGTACCCCTTTCTATGCCTTCAGTGGTATTAGACATAAAGACCAATCGGCACTTTGTGGGTGACATGGTTAGCATCCTGCCGGTCGCCTTTACTTTCTAGGACTCTACCTGGTACCCATTCCTTCACTTTAAATTTTTTTTTTTTTTAGTTAACCAGTAAACAGGTCAAGTTATTGCACAAAAAACCTTGTCAACTCTTCAAGCTAGTTGTGTCACAAACAAATCAATTTTGTGTTTTCCCTGATTTATTTTTCTTGCTTTTTATTTATGCAGACACTTTATTGTGTCACATAATTCTGTTCTGCTTACTATTTGTGGCTTTATTCTATCATTTATATATTTATCTGCACTGTCTTTTTATTGTTGTTCAACACCTCAAGGGTAGCATCTCAGAATTTAAACTACAAACACTCAAGTGGGAAAAAATTCATAAGACATGTCAACTACACACACTCTCGTGTGGGAGAAAACATCACACATGTCTCTCACTCACAACCTGATGTGAGAGAAAACACCACACATGTATATCACACACACAAGCTGATGTGGGAGAGAACACCACACAGGTAACATACACAACCATAAATGGACTACCAAAAATTAAATGCCCAAAATTATAAATCACACACAACATGAAGTGAAGGAGAACTCCCCAAACATAACTTGATATGGGAGAGTGGATTCTAATGAAAGAGAAGATGAATCAGATGAACACATAGTTCATATTTAATCCTCAGGTTAGTCAGATGTCATCAATAATCACATTATTAACACATCTACCACTGGCCATGAACCAGGGCTTGATTGGGAAACATGACTTTATCATGACACATTCACACAGGGTCATGAATTAAACACTCAGAGATGAGTCATGCTGAGTTAATTAAAACAAAGATAGATGCCCTGTCACCTGTACAATCTCTTTCATATCAGGACTCCCATAAAACTAGCTATCAGTTGTCAGATAAATCCTATCACAGGACCACATGTATGCTATTGTACTTGACATTTATGACACAAAGAAAATTGAAAAAGAGAAAATTTAACATGGAAAAGAGGGGGAGGGGGATATGTACAACATGTATTCCTTCCTGCCAATTAGTTAAACAAAAACATAGGCCTAGCCCTATATTCCCAACACTCCTAAAGGCGTGCAAAAGAGATATTCACTGTACATTTATGTATTCCTTACAAGGACTAACACAAGAAACCAAATGAACACCTCTGCAAGAACAATAAAATCTCCATACACATCTGCACTAATAGTTCTTTAGAATTGACAGGCCACTTGTCTTAGTAGTAGGCAGCATGTGGGTTATTCTGAAAGGCAGTGTGCACCCAAAAAGTACTACATAAGGTAACTATATGCAGTCATTTTTGTAACTGTAAGTCGTTTTTGTAGTTGTATCACTATCTGTATTTATTACACCCTAAAGTAGGATTTCTAGCTGCAAAATTCCTTTTGCTATTTTTGACTAGTTAGAGAGTGGGGGGAGGGGGGGTTCTGATTAACTGCTCTCATTCAGAATTCAGACTGATAGTTTTCAAGATAAGATAGCCCATATGAGCAACATGCATTCATATCACTGCAGTGTCCTGATGTAGCCTGTTTCACCCATATGGGCAACATACATTCATATCACTGCAGTGTCCTGATGTAGCCTGTTTCACCCATATGGGCAACATACATTCATATCACTGCCGTGTCCTGATGTAGGCTGTTTCACCCATATGGGCAACATACATTCATATCACTGCAGTGTCCTGATGTAGCCTGTTTCACCCATATGAGCAACATGCATTCATATAACTGCAGTGTCTTGATGTAGGCTGTTTCACCCATATGGGCAACATACATTCATATCACTGCAGTGTCCTGATGTAGCCTGTTTCACCCATATGGGCAACATACATTCATATCACTGCAGTGTCCTGATGTAGCCTGTTTCACCCATATGAGCAACATACATTCATATCACTGCAGTGTCCTGATGTAGCCTGTTTCACCCACATGAGCAACATGCATCCATATCACTGCAGTGTCCTGATGTAGGCTGTTTCACCCATATGAGCAACATGCATCCATATCACTGCAGTGTCCTGATGTAGGCTGTTTCACCCATATGGGCAACATACATTCATATCACTGCCGTGTCCTGATGTAGGCTGTTTCATCCATGTGAGCAACATACATTCATATCACTGCAGTGTCCTGATGTAGGCTGTTTCACCCATATGAGCAACATGCATTCATATCACTGCAGTGTCCTGATGTAGGCTGTTTCACCCATATGGGCAACACACATTCATATCACTGTCGTGTCCTGATGTAGGCTGTTTCACCCATATGAGCAACATGCATTCATATCACTGCAGTGTCCTGATGTAGGCTGTTTCACCCATATGAGCAACATGCATTCATATAACTGCAGTGTCTTGATGTAGGCTGTTTCACCCATATGGGCAACATACATTCATATCACTGCAGTGTCCTGATGTAGCTGTTTCACCCATATGACCCACTGTATAACTCACAGGATACTGTCATGCTGACATTCAACGGTCATTCAAAGGAAGGGATACCATTAAGTTAGACCCTGTGTGGGGTCAGAGGTCATACTGTGGCAGAAACCAAGGATAAATCCACTGCCTCACTCACAAGAATGTTGAAGGAGTTGACTAATCAATTCATCTGCAGTGACATGAAGCGGTGGTAGCAGTACCTATGACAGTAGTAAAACAGTGCTTTTTTGGGGGGATGATATGACTTTCAGTTGTCACGTGACCTTCAAGTTTAACATGTCTTCTATTAGCTGCTGGCATGTGACAGTGACTACACCCTGGCTGATTTCTTCAACATGACAGCTTATACGTATGTAGTGCAATGACAATCAAATGAAGGAAGGTTCATGTGAGGGTGGCTCCGAATGACAGCAACATGGAGAGCATGGGAGAGAGCTCTAATAAACCAAGGTGTGAGCTCTAATAAACCACTGATGAGCTAGTACCTGTCTATGCAAGCAAGCAAAATTTGTATAGTGATAATTTATTTTATTTTGTACTGTTATCAAAGGCCTAATTCAGCTGTGCACTAAACAAACAGAGGTTATGTCTTCATATTAGAAAGTAAGTAAAAACAAAAAAATTGAGTTTCCCCTTTTAGTGATCTGGGTGTGTATTAGGACAGTTCTAGGGACAATGTATCATATTCAGACCGAGGGCCGGGTACATAAGACTTTATTAACACATGATGTAAGTGTTCTTGGTGTCAGTAACACCTATCACCTGAAAATGCTGATCATATGCTCTAGCTCTATATACTGTGTGCTGCTAACATGTATGCCTCTAATACAAACAATGTGGTCTATTTCAACCCTCATCAAGACAAAGCTTTCTGGTGGCACACATGGAGATTAGGACTGCACATCCTACTGACCCTCTAACAAGCACTAGATAACAAGTGACTCATTAGAAGTGTCTTTTTCTAAGTCAGAGTATATCTTCCTGAAAGACAAAGAACAATAGGCTATATATAAGCTAGATTTGTAAAACTGATGAGCATGCATAACTCAAGTTCTGGAGAATGAGCACAGAAGTGGCCAAACAATAAACTTTCAGCCGTAGATCACAGCTGGTAAGCATGACGAAGAATTATTTCTCAACAGCTTTCATAAAGGCTACTGACCACAAAGTGTAACTTTTCTGACAATTTCTGACAAAAAGACTGAAGAAAAACTAAGCTGGCTTACAACATGTGTGTCAAACACTGAGATATTGGGAGCTGCAGGCATTTTAAGTACACTTTCCTAAAGAAAATGCAGCAGAGGAAGTTATGGGCCATTTTACCAGAACTTGTGGCAAAGAGAAACTCGCCTTATATGGAGGAAAACTAGACAAAAAAAATGTAGTAAGGCAAAGATATGTAAGATGCATTAACTCTTTCAGCCGCAGGAGGTTTAGTATCAGAGGGCCAATGGGCAAGTAACGAGCGACGTAAAATCAGCACATCCTGAGTTCATTGAGTTTCTAGGTTTCTGTGGACTGAAACAGTTAAACAGATGAGCAACTAACAACAATAAAAGAAACAACATTAACATGTGAGGCAATAGAAGATCTGAGGAACAGCCCCGCTCAAGATGGTTCAGATTTGGAACTTGAGGAAACAGAAGATGAAGAAAAGTATTACACATAATGTACTCACCGGAATAGTCATCAAAGGCCGTGGGCATGTATTCTGTGGGATAACCATTGGTAGTGTAGCTCACAATCAAGCTAGTCTTTCCAACAGCTCCATCGCCGACCAAAACACACTTGACTTTGGCAGTAGGTTGAATTAACGGTGTGTTGTTGGGGTCTCTCTGCTGGAGGGCCATGTTGTTGGTACTGTTGGAGTTGTTGTCATGCATGATGTTTGTTCTGTGATCCATCACGGGGACATGTGGAGGCATGTTAGATCAACACCTCGAAGGAAGACACTTGCCACACATGAACGATGTGGACATCCAGCAACAAAGTGTCAGCGGCTGGCCAGCCAAATTTATTCAGATGAAACTCAATTTTCTGGCACGTCTTTCAAACTCCGTTAAAATCACTTGGCTTTGAAAAATGTATGCAACTGAATATGAATGGCTGGAAAGCTCAGATCCTGAATAATTCATAAACAGATTAAGAGTAATTAACTTCAGTGGTATATTTTATTTTTAAAGTGATTTAGCAAGAATATTTACAGGATACATTACACACAGGCAGATCTGAAAGGCCAAGTGATTATACCACATTTAGTATAGTTATCAGCATAGTAACTATAACATAGTATGCTTAATGCAAAAGGTAGCCTCAGTGCTGGATTAAGGCATAAGCTAACACCTGCAGCTTAGGGCCTCACAATTTGCAGGGGCTTCAACAAATTATTATTTTTTGTTCACAAATGCATTTTTCTGTCAATAGTGCCTTTGAGAGGGTTACCTAATAATAACATAATTTATGTGATTTTACAGACATTAATTATTCTTTTACTACAATATTAAACATCTTCTATTTAGTTTTTCTTTTTCTTTGCGTTCACCAGCTGTAAACACTCTACCAGACCAGACCAGACTGGCAAAAAGTTCTGGTTGTTCATCCACTTCTGGACTGCAGTCCTGTTCCAGAACCTGAGTGTTGCATGTGCATCTGTTTTACAGATCTGACTCATTTGTATGCAGACTGCTGGCTCCTTGCCTCTCAGGCAGATGCACTCTGACTTCAAACGAAGCTCCCAATTAGTCAACTCTTACAACATGCTTTTGGGTAGGCAGTGGGTCTATTCTTATTTTCCCTATAATAGGGCCTTTGAACCTACACAGGCATTCCATTCAGTGAATATATAAGCCTTATAAATTATTCACCTCTTATATATATAAAAAGCTTATAGATTTTAAAGTTTTCTTAGATAAGCTGGTGTAATTTAAACCTGCAAGGGCCTCACGATTAATTATACTTAGGGCCTCATCATGTTCTAAGTCTGGCTCTGGGCACACTTGATGTAAATTCGCTAAGGCAAAAAGTTACCCCTCCTTGGTATACAGCGGCAAAATACGATCGTTTCAAATATTAGTATATGAAATTCTGTACAAGACTGGAACAACATCTAAGCAACTGGAAGGGTCGAAGAAATAAATCTGCCATACACGTTTCTGTCTGAAAGAACGTTTAAAGTTAATTCTGGAACACTGTCCATATATTCCGCAAAGCTACAAGCTGTAGTGTGTGCGAGAGTAATGTCCATAAACTCGTCCCATCTTTAACAATATTAAACTCTGGAAGTTAAAACTACAAAGTGCTTAGCTTTCGGAGTTACGGTTGTATAATTATTTATCATCTCATGATGGCATCCAACAACTCGAACGCTACTTTTTTTAGTGACGGTACACGTTCTATTTACCGTTCCGCTATCGGTGAGGTCACCCTGCCATTCGTTTAACGTCTCAATTATAAATCAATCCAGTATTGTGAAATACTCAAATACATTAGGCTAATTTAAATTATTATTAATATTGCACAATACAAACACTCACTATTCAAAACGATACAACCAGCACTAACACTAACAGTACTAACACATCAACTGGAGAGACGGGACATACTAACGATGTCGAATCAAGCAACTTCTGTGTAGATCTTGATCATCGGGAATGAATATTTATTTATTACACGTTGTTTTGTGTCAACTCCAAAATCAATGACAGTCCAAACCTGATGCCCACCTGACGGACCGGCAACGCACGACAGCCACTGATCAAATTCATGCTTCTCAATAAATAGATAAAATAAATACTACGCAGTTTCAAAACTAAACGGTAAAGAAATACAATAATCACTCAATCACCTACCTCCACCGCGTCCCAGAATGAGAATTCACAATACAGACAGGCATTAAAAGATAAAACGGAAAAGAAAACTGTCTAGTGTAGCTACACGTCTGGTCGGGCGGCCGTCACGGAGCTCCTTCTCACAGCAGCAGACGGCGGACTGCCATTGGCTGGCTGGCGGTTCAATGATGAGTCACCCTGGGAGAGGTGTCTCTGCTGGGAGCCAGTACAGAGGGGCTTCGTCTTAGGGGCATGGGCGCCGAAGTACGGGAGTTTGGGCGGGAGGGGCATGGGTGCCGCAGGCTAGGGAGCTTTGTCATGGGGGCATGGTTACTGCAGGCCTGAGGTAGTACAGGGAGCTTCCTCTTGGGGGTATGGGCGCCGCAGGGTGGAGGCAGCGTGCTTTCGTCCTGTGGGCTTGGGCATAGCAGACATGGGACATTAAACACCCCATAATAGTTTGTTACTGGAAAGGGGGAGGGGGCGAATCCTACCCAATAGGAGGAAGGGGTTTAAGACTCTCCTTGATAAGTTAGAGATGGCATTTAGACATTTAACTGCACCCTCCTCCCCCCTACCCCGCCTAATCCAATGATAGACCTTCTTTTATTAAGCAAAATATTTTTAAATACTAAAAAAGTATTATATTTGTTTTACAGTTCAGCAGATAGAAATGATTAGTTTTATTAATAGCAGTAAAGGTAAAATTTATTAATTAGATTATTATAATTATAAATTGCTTACAACTAGGCATTTTAATAGCAGAATTATTATTATTATTATTATTATTATTATTATTATTATTATTATTATTATTATTTGTGTGCTCAAAAAGGTTTAAGCCTCTAGACCCACACTTCAAAATTTATACGGGACCCCCTTCCCACATATTTCTTAGCGCCTGCGCCTCTGCCTGTGTGCCCAGCGTTCGAACTGCTTGCCTGAGTTGGTGTTTTACGCCCAGGTAGCTATCAAACAGCCTGGATACGCCAAAGAAGACGGCTCAGGTAGCTACCGGTAGCGGGCACCTGGGGAGTTTTTGACACCGATGTAGCTGGGTGGTGGTGTGAAATGTGCTCGGTGCAGATGCGTGTGACTGATGGCATTGGTGCACTTTGAGTTTGGCTGCAATTGATGTCTGTTTATCTGTCGGCCAGTAAGGATGTCTGTCTTTCCCACCGTCCGTCAGTCCGTCTATCTATCTATCTATCTATCTATCTATCTATCTATCTATCTATCTATCTATCTATCTATCTATCTATCTATCTATCTATCTATCTATCTATCTATCTATCTATCTATCTATCTATCTATCTATCTATCTATCTATCTATCTATCTATCTATCTATCTATCTATCTATCTATCTATCTATCTATCTATCTATCTATCTATCTATCTATCTATCTATCTATCTATCTATCTATCTATCTATCTATCTATCTATCTATCTATCTATCTATCTATCTATCTATCTATCTATCTATCTATCTATCTATCTATCTATCTATCTATCTATCTATCTATCTATCTATTGTCTGTCTGTCTGTCGTATTATGTCACGCCAGGTTGCCTCAGTTACCTTCTGTCACATCATGCTGTCCTATTTACCTCCCATATCACGTCAAGCTGCCTTAGTTACCTTTCACGACCCGCCAGGATGCCTTAGTTAACTCCCATGTCACATCAGACTGTATTGGTTACCTATTACCAATTATGTCACGCCAGACTACTTTAGTTACCTCCCATGTGACGCCAGGCTGCCTTAGTTACCTCCCATGTGACGCCAGGCTGCCTTTGTTACCTCCCAGGTGACGCCAGGCTGCCTTTGTTCCCTCCCATGTGACGCCAGGCTGCCTTAGTTACCTTTCATGACCCGCCAGTTTGCCTTAGTTACCTTTTACGTCCTGTCAGGTTGCCTTAGTTACCTTTTATGTCCCGCCAGGCTGCCTTAGTTACCTTTCATGACCCACCAGGCTGCCTTAGTTACCTTTCATGACCCGCCAGGTTGCCTTAGTTACCTTTTATGTCCCGCCAGGTTGCCTTAGTTACCTTTTATGTCCCACCAGGTTGCCTTAGTTACCTTTTATGTCCCGCCAGGTTGCCTTAGTTACCTTTTATGTCCCGCCAGGCTGCATTAGTTACCTTTTATGTCCCGCCAGGTTGCCTAAGTTACCTTTTATGTCCCGCCAGGTTGCCTTAGTTACCTTTTATGTCCCGCCAAATTGCCTTAGTTACCTTTTATGTCGCGCCAGGCTGCATTAGTTACCTTTCATGACCCACCAGGTTGCCTTAGTTACCTTTCATGACCCACCAGGTTGCCTTAGTTACCTTTCATGACCTGCCAGGTTGCCTAAGTTACCTTTTATGTCCCACCAGGCTGCCTTAGTTACCTCTCATGGCCAGATCGCCTTAGTAATCTCTTATACAACATGATCCACCTCTCGGCCTGTTTTGTTAACTTCAAAATAGATAACATCAGAAATGTTCTTCCCTTTTAGACTACTGTAACAGTACACTAAACGCACGGTTAAAGTTTGGAGTCGAGAGAATAGACGTTACTGCACTGAATTGTATCCCCCATAGCTCAGTCTCTCTCCGCTAGCCGCCCGCCGAGAGCGTCACAAAAGTACTGTAGCTCAAGCGACAATCCCCAGAAATATCCGTAAAAAACTCCAATAGTGAACAGACAGGGGCAACTGTGAAACGAACCCACGACTTTCAGAACGTGAGGCAAACGGGTTGACCACTTCGACACGGAGACCACCCAGTTGAACGATAATTTAATAATTTAAAATTTATAATAATAATTTCAATTTGAATGTGTTTAATAATAATAAAAAAAAAAACTATAGACACCACAGGGCTGAAGAAGGACGAGTGTTTGCTAGTCAACCTACAGAAAACATCAGAGCCACTCTGTACCTGTACAAACAGTCGAGGTCATGTGAGAGACACACCACACACATTCATAGGCTGTATCCTCAACTAAGTCTCAACTACACGTTTTGTTTGCCAAGGGGCGGTAATGACGTAAGAGTTACCTTTCCGGCGACA